CGTGGGGGACCCTTCCCCGGGGAAGCGGTTAAAGCAGGGAGGAAGGGGCTAAACCGGGGGGCCAGGAGGGCCTGGGTGTGAGAGGGGCGCTGGGCCCCCTTGTGATGCGGGGAGGGAAAGGAAATCGCCCGTGCGTTTTCTCAGCCGCTCCAACAGCTTCTCGGATGTTTATCAGGTATTGGCCAAATAGTGTTGAGCTAATGAGCTAGCCTGGTGGTTCAGAGGAGGGAGGGAAAACCCAGCTGCTGTTGTACTTTCCGTCTCAATATCTGGTGAGATATTGCACAGCAAATATCAGCAAAAAATAAATAGGAACTTAAGATACGTGACTTTTTTTTTTTTAAATGCCAGTCTAGCACTTCAAAGTTTGTCCTCAATTCATACCATGGTGAAATCTGTGTGTCTTTCCCTGGGCGGGGGGGCAGCAGTGACCTGGTTTCATGTAGGGACCTTGTTCCTGTGTGAGTTATCCTGGGTCTGTAAGTAAACCTTCCTGTTTTGAGCCTGAATCCAGTAGGAACAGATCTGTATGGAGAGTATCTGTTTTATTCTTTCCATCTACTGTTTTTTTTTCCTTGTAATTTAATACGTTGTAATTATAAAAAAAAGAAATCCTATTGTACCCTTCTAATACTGTTATGTGTTCTGTTAAGCCACTTGAACATTGCTTGTGTGTGTATCCATTTCCAGGCGGCTTTATGGACTTTCAAGGTTGGCTAAATCATGATGGATTTCCTCCCCCCCCCCCCCCCCCCCCGATCCTAGGAAGATTAAGACCTTCTGTTTGTGGAGCTTTTGGCAATACTTTTTTAAGAGCTGTGCTAGTGGAAAGACTTACTTGGGCGAATAATAGTTTTGTGGCAAAAAATGAGCTGCCAGTTTTTGTGGAGTGCTTGTGGAGATGTAACATCAGGTAAAAGCAAAAGCTAGATAGACTTACGGCATTGGAAGCTACTATGCCTGGTATTTCTAGCTAGGTTGGTAGGTTCTTTTATTAAAAAACAAGAAATAACAACAACAAAAACTTAGAATTATTGTATATAATGTAACCATTTCTGATATACGCAGGAGTAACCACATATCACAAATATTTTTTCCCCAGCTGCATTGGTTTCCAATATTATAAACAATTTCATGATGTACTGGCCTTCTCCAAACCACATGGACTCTGCCTTTCCTTTCTGCCAGCAGAAGAACCTGTGGGTGGGGTTGTTTGATATCTGGATTCCTCTAGACCTGCAAGAGAACAATTCTGAATTCCAGCTGGCGCAAGGAGCGTTTGGAAAAATCCTTCCTTTGCTGAACTCCTTGTTAATGTGTCCTCTTCTTGTGTGACTGCTTCTATTGCACTGTTCCCCGTGGCAGCACGGTCAGCAGTGCTAGATTTGCTGGTCCGTATCACCTGTGTGTGGCTGCTTTCCTTCCTGTTTGTGGGCTGCTCACAGCTGCTTTCAGAGCCTGCTGGAGCCGCGGGGCCTGGGGCAATGTGTAAATGCATCCTCATCCTCATGGTGAACTGTAGTCAGGTTTGCTTGGAGTTTGGGCCTTGCTAGGAGAAGAGTGGGGTTTCCTGGCACTAGTAAAACCCAGTTAGCCCGGTCAGGTTTGCTTGGAGTTTGGGCCTTGGGGTTTCCTGGCATTAGTAAAACCCAGTTAGCCCCTTAGCTTCAAGGGGAGCTTGTTTTCTTCGAGCATGTGCCAGGTATGAGATGACTTGATTTAAAATTTTAGGGAGAAATTCTGCAGGTTGAAAAGACCAAATGAACCCTTAAGACTGTACTCTGATCTTCTTAACCTTTGTTGGCTAGGATTTTTATTCTTTGCACACTGTGGGTATGTTATTGTTGAAAGTTATTGTCTGAGAATTGAAGAGTCTGATTTTATTTAACGCCCTCTCTGAAAGTTCTAACAGCCTAAGCTAATTTGTTATTTTCTTCTTTTGCCCGCCCCTCCCTTCCTCCTCTCCAGTCATTTTTAAATCAGCCTCTTTGCATAACCAGTCTCAGAGTGTGCAGTATTCGCTACATAATACAATTGTGCAGCTGTGTAAGATAATGTTGCTGTTAACTAGAGCTTTTAATGATTTTAAAAGCTTTAAAAAGTTAAGTGGGGAACTGGATGCCCTGTTGCACTATTTGCATTTCAATTCAGTGACTTTTAAGAGTTTGCCTGAACTGGAAAACCTGACCTGAAAGTGTGGAG